ACTGTTCATGGGGTTCTCAAGGCAAGAACACTGAATAGGTTTGCCATTCCCTTCTCCAGTGGACCATGTTTTGTCAGACTTCTCTACCATGACCCGTCTGTCTTGGGTGGCCCTACACAGCAGGGCTCATAGTTTCATTGAGTTAGACCAGGCTGTGGTCCATGCGAATAGATTGGTTAGTTTTCTGTGACTGTGGTTTTCAGTCTGTCTGCCCTCTGATGGAGAAGGATAAGAAATTATGGAAGCTTCCTGATGGAAGAGACTGACTGAGGGGGAAACTGGGTCTTGTTCTGATTGGCAGGACCATGCTCAGTAAATCTTTAATAAATCTTTCATGTTGCATTACATTAAAATATACATATATACACACATATACATACATATATATTTTTTAATGGAACTGAATTATTTTAACAGTGCCTACAGACACAGTGAATAACTCATTCAGGGAATAAAATCCGTGAGGATATTCTAGTCCTAAACTCAGAACCTGAATTATACACTGTTCATTGAAATGTAGCTAAAGCTTTACGCCAGTAAGATGTAAGCAATTAAATCTTCTATCACATTATCAAAGATTTATTATCTCTAATTTATTTAATTTTTGTTCACTGCTTCATCACCATAATTAAGAAATAATGATTTATGGGTATAACTAGCTTCAGCTCTAATTATACCCTAAAAAGCAATAGAACAAATTCTTCTTTGGCCACAAAATCTCTTACTTTATATATGCTTAAAACAGTTAGCAATTTTTAATTTTACCACATAACACTCCAATATCTATATGTTCATTCTTTCTTGGTATATTAAAATAAATTGTCAATTGTAGCCTAAAGTCCTTGAAAGTATTAAACCTGGCAACCTTAAACACACAGTAAGTATATCTTGATGGGGCAATATAATGGTTTAAAAACACAAGAGTAATTTATGCCATGTTCATTTACCAAGCAGCACTGGAATTAAGGAATGGAATTTATCACTGCACAAGAATTGAGAAACTCTACCATCCATTTTATGACATGCATTCAACTCCATTGTTAAGAGTACAGTTCTTCAACCTCAGCATTACTGACATTTTTGCCAGATAACTCGTTGTAGGAGGCTGTCCTACAGCCTGTGAACTGTAGGATGATTAGCAGCAGGCATGGTCTCTACCTTACCATCTGATAAATGAAAATGTCTCAGACATTGTCACATGTCCCTTGAGAAGAACTGCCCAGCGAGAACAGCGGGTTTAGAGACAGCTGGTGCCACAACACAGAGTCACAGTGAGTCTCCTGTGAAGGGCATCCAACCTGGAGGAACAGATTCTTCAAGAACGACATCATACCCTCTTGGAAAGACCCACTAGTGCAGGGTACACCCACTGCACCATTCCTCTCATCAACAGTCAGTCCACCACAGGTGTTAAGCCTTCAGCTTGAGGAAGATAATTCAACAAGCATTTGTTAGCTTCTTCAACCCCATCCGGCCAACTTAAAACACATTAACCCTTACTAACAGCTAGTCCCAGGATCCTACCACTTAGTTAATTATTTGTAAATGCTACATTACTGAACAGTAGAAGGGAGACTCTTTGATTATATTAGATAGGGATTTTTTGCTGAATCTTTTGAGGTAAAATTTTATTAAGTCAGATGATATAACATGCCCAAAACTGAAGAGAAAATAAGAAAAGTTCCAGCTGTAGTTTTCACACAGGGGTAGGTACACACAACACTTACCAACAAATTTAAGTTTCTTTGTGTCACTCCTGAACAAAATCAGGAGACAGATTAAATATCATTGTTGTTGTTGTTAAGTCACCAACTCATGTCTGACTCGTTGCAACCCCATGGACTGAAGCCTGCCAGCCTTCTCTGTCCATGGGATTTCCCAGGCGAGAATAATGGAGTGGAGTGCCATTTCCTTCTCCACGGGATCTTTCTGATCCAGGAATTGAACCCATGTTTCCTGCATTGGCAGGCAGATTGTTTACTACTGAGCCACAGGGAAGTCCTAAATTTACTTTAAAAGAAGAATGCCTTAATTGTTTTCTAATGTTTGAAAAGAAAAAAAATAAGATTTCTCAAAACCCTTTTAAAATTTTATGCAGTAGTAACAAAAAGTGGAAAAGAAACTGATATAAGAGTCTGTAAGTTCAGTTCAGTCACTCAGTCGTGTCTGACTCTTTGTGACCTTAACCCAGTGGACTTCAGCACGCCAGGCCTCCCTGTCCATCACCAACTCCCGGAGCTTGCTCAAACTCATGACATTGAGTCGGTGATGCCATCCAACCATCTCATCCTCTGTTGTCCCCTTCTCCTCCCACCTTCAATCTTTCCCAGCATCATGGTCTTTTCCAGTGAGTGAGTTCTTTGCATCAGGTGGCCAAAGTATTGGAGTTTCAGCTCAACATCAGTCCTTCCAATGAATATTCAGGACAGATTTCCTCTAGGATGGACTGGTAGGATCTCCTTACAGTGCAAGGGGCTCTCCAGAGTCTTCTCCAACACCACAGTTCAAAAGCATCCTTCTTCGGCATTCAGCTTTCTTTAGAGTCCAACTCTCACATCTATCCATGATACTGGAAAAACCATAGCTTTGACTAGACGGATATAGTAACGTCTCTGCTTTAAATATGTTGTATAGGTTGGTCATACCGTTTCTTCCAAGGAGCAAGCATCTTTTAATTTCATGGATGCAGTCACCATCTGCAGTGATTTTGGAGCCCCCAAAAATAAAGTCTGTCACTGTTTCCATTGTGTCCCCATCTATCTGCCATGAAGTGATGGGACCAGATGCCATGATCTTAGTTTTCTAAATGTTGAGTTTTAAGCCAACTTTTCCACTTTCCTCTTTCACTTTCATCAAGAGGCTCTTTAGTTCTTCTTCACTTTCTGCCATAAGGGTGGTGTCATCTGCACTTCTCAGGTTATTGGTATTTCTCCCAGCAATCTTGATTCCAGCTTGTGCTTCATCCAGGCCAGCATTTCTCATGATGTACTCCGCATAGAAGTTAAATCAGCAGGGTGACAATATACAGCCTTGACTTACTCTTTTTTCTATTTGGAAGCAGTCTGTTGTTCCATGACCAGTTCTAACTGTTGCTTCCTGACCTGCACACAGACTTCTCAGGAGGCAGGTCAGGTGGTCTGGTATTCCTGTCTCTTTAAGAATTTTCCACAGTTTGTTGTGCTCTACATAGTCAAAGGCTTTGGCATAGTCAGTGAAGCAGAAATAGATGTTTTTCTGGAACTCTCTCACTTTTTCGAGGATCCAGCAGATGTTGGCAATTTGATCTCTGGTTCCTTTCCCTTTTCTAAATCCAGCTTGAACATCTGGAAGTTCTCGATTCACATAATGTTGAAGCCTGGCTTGGAGAATTTTGAACATTACTTTGCTAGCGTGTGAGATGAGTGCAACCGTGTGGTAGTTTGAACATTCTTTGGCATTGCCTTTCTTTGGGACTGGAATGAAAACTGACCGTTTTCAGTCCTGTGGCCACTGCTGAGTTTTCCAAATTTGCTGGCATAGAGTGCAGCACTTTCACAGCATGATTTTTTAGGATTTGAAATAGCTCAACTGGAATTCCATCACCTCTATTAGCTTTGCTTGTAGTGATGCTTTCTAAGGCCCACTTGACTTCGCATTCCAGGATGTCTGGCTCTAGGTGAGTGATCACACCATCCTGATTATCTGGGTTGTGAAGATCTTTTTTGTATAGTTCTTCTGTGTATTCTTGCCACCTCTTCTTAACATCTTTTGCTTCTGTTAGGTCCATACCATTTCTGTCCTTTATTGTGCCCATCTTTGCATGAAATGTTCCCTTGGTATCTCTAATTTTCTTAAAGAGATCTGTTGACTTTCCCATTCTATTGTTTTCCTCTATTTCTTTGCATTAATCACTGAGGAAGGCTTTCTTATCTCTCCTTGCTATTCTTTGGAACTCTGCATTCAAATGGATGTATCTTCCCTTTTCTCCTGTGCCTTTAGCTTTTCTTCTTTTCTCAGCTATTTGTAAGGCCTTCTCATTTTGCATTTCTTTTTCTTGGAGATGGTCTTGATCCCTGGATCCTGTACAAGGTCAGGAACCCCCATCCATAGTTCATCATGCACTCTATCAGATCTAATCTCTTGAATCTATTTGTCACTTCCACTGTTTAATCGTAAGGGATTTGATTTAGGTCATAACTGAATGGTCTCACGGTTCTCCCTACTTTCTCCAATTTAAGTCTGAATTTGGCAATACAGAGTTCATGATCTGAGCCACGCCACATACACACACAAGCTCCCAGTCTTGTTTTTGCTGACTATATAGAGTTTCTCCATCTTCGGCTACAAAGAATATAATCAATCTGATTTTGGTAGTGACCATCTGTTGATATCCATGTATAGAGTCTTCTCTTGTGTTGTTGGAAGAGGGTGTTTGCTATGACCAGTGCATTCTCTTGCCAAAAATGTTATTAGCTTTTGCCCTTCTTCATTCTGTACTCCAAGGCCAAATCATAGTCTATAACAGTTATAATAGTCTATAACAGTCTATAATAGTCTATAAGTGTTTTAACAGTCTATAACAGAAGACATTTCTGCTTAAAGTGAAAACTCAAAAGTCAAATTTTTATACTAAATGCTTCTGACATTTGTCAAGTCTCTTTTTATCTCTAATACCCATTGTCCTCATTTCCAAATATCTCTGCCATTTAGAGGATGAAATGGGGTTAAAAAATTATATAAATTTTTGAAAAAAAAACATTATTCTAATATTCTCATGTCATTAATAACTGGGCAAATGAATGTAACATCACACAGAATTTTTATTTTCAGAATTACCAAAATTAGTGATGATAATGGGTAAAATTAACATATTTCTCAAAACATTTCACTTTGACCAAACAAAAATCAGTTCATTTTTAATTACTTTTCATTACTTTCAAGAAAACAAAAATTGGAATTTTAAATCTGATAAACTATAAATAATAACACACATTTAAGCTTCAGATTTTCTAAATACTTACATTACTTGCAAACTTTCTGCTGTTAAATTATTCCACATAATCTCATTTGCCTGTAGATTTTCATTTTCTTCTAGTAAGGAAGTATCAAACTCAATTTCTTGCTCCTTAGCAGCCGTTGTTCTGGTAAAGCATGCCAAATAATTTTGATCAATATGAATGCCCTATCATAATATGTCTTAGTATACAATAAAAGCAGAATATTCGTTCTTATTTAAAATTATGTTAACAAAGTAAAGCAAAAATAAATAGTATAAATCAAACTAAACCTTAGGCCTCAAAGACCTAGTCAAGTTATTTCAGCTTAGTTTCCTCATTTGTAGAATACGGATATTAATCTGCTTTATTCCATCCTCAATGATAATTAATATAAAATAAGATGATGCATACATGAAAACAAATGTAGTATCACTATAATAAAGTTTAACACAAACAGAAAACAACAGGTTTATTATTATTACATAATTGTTAAAAAGAAAATATTACTTCAAGGATTAAATATGGGTTTAAGCAATGATGTAATAACAACTGAAAAACTTTTAAAGAGCATTATATAAATTAAATATCAACAGTTATAAAATCACTGAGAAAGGACTCTGAAAATAATTAAAAACAGACAAATTAATAGGAAACAGCCTATGTCCTAACAAAGTTCATCAATATTTCTTATTTTAATTCATTAAATAACACATGTCAAAAAATAATACTGTCAAAAATACTGAAAGAAGAATGAAAGTATCTATACATACCTGTGAACATCTATGAAATTGTTGTATTCTGTGCTAGGGTCTATCTGTTCAACTGACATTTGAATCTCTTTATGAACGTTCACTATTTCCTCTGTAACAAGACTAGTTATCTGGCTGTATTCATCAAATATACTTTTTCTGAAAAGAAGAGGAAAGGTTTAGAACATTTTAAAGTTTTATCAGGGAAACACAGGCCCAGAAAGGGTTTAGAACGATAAAAATGAGAAATGTAATGCCACCACAGATGGTGGCTCCGTGCACCACCTTATTTCATTTACCTGGATAGTGAAGTAAACGGAGTATAAAAATGTATGAATTAACAATTTACATTTGATGTAACAGAATAATTGCAAATGATCTACATTACATTTTTCAACATCTAAATAACATACAAAAATATAAGCCTGAACTGATCCCTTCCTACTCCTAAACAGTGCCACAGCCACGCCGATCCCGTCACGTGAGCTGTGGGTCAGGTCCTGTGTCCGTAATATTACTTTCACTGTGGGCAGCTTCCTCACAAGCCCTACCTCCTGGGTCTTCTCTTGCTCCTGGGCCTCTGTTCTTTCCCATATTATACTCAGAGTTTAGCTGGCTTATATCTCCAATGACCTTTCAATCTCTGCTGACCTCCAGTCAGTAGCAAAAATGATCATAACTGTTATCAGCCTAATGTAATAAGTGCAAAAAGAAAACCATTCTGTTGCAACGACCCTAATCCTCAACTTGATAATGCCATGCTGTAAAAATATACAACTGCTCATCAGTAGCCTTAAAAAGTGTAGATAGACATGTTTAGCCTGCATGTACCCAAATAAATATAAGGCCCTAATTTTCTTTTCCAAAATCATCACTCACAAAAAGGAATCCTTTAAAAATCTCTCTCTTATTTTGAAGAATTCTTTTACTTCATTTTGAATAGTGAAATACTATTTGGGTAAAAAAACAAAAAAATTAAATTAAAAATGCTTCAGGCAATGCTAATTTTGAATGATTACAGAAATCACCTGATAGATACAACTGAAAGAAAAGAGTGAGGTATAAAAATTTAATTCAGATTTAGTAAATATCCTTGGGGCCTCACAGTTGGAAGTACTGGATGATATGAATGCAAATGAGCCTCTCTAGATAATTCTTATAAAGTAATACAGTAAGTGGTTATGACGTTAACACTCATCTTTAAGACAAATTGGGGAAAAAAGGCAGAAATCTCCTAATGTTATATGAATGAGTACTTGTGACAAAGGATTCAATTTTAGTGATATTATATTTTTAATGCCAGATCTAAAAAAATTTACTAGACAGTAAAGATAATACACTTGTAAAATTATTAAATGTCTCTAAAGGATGTTCTCATGATGGTAAAAATACTGTTACTGAACATGCATATGAGGAATTTGAAAAAACATTGATTCATAAAATGAAAATAGGAAAGGAAATGTTTATAAGTCAATAATATATAATTTAAAGAAGACATAACTAATTAAATATTTTAAGTAGGCATTTCACTATTTTATCAACACCCTTAAACACTGACATATTCAAGTTGACTAAAATCACTTTATCCTTTATTGGAAAAATGGGGACTCACCAGCATTAATAATGAGATGAAGTCTACGAGAGGGTGGTGTACTGAATTGATATGTATGGTAAACATGTATGCGTTTGAATTACTAACCAACACTGTTAGTTCCTTGAAGGCAAAAACTGTGCCCTACTCATCTCTACATCCCCAAGCACCAGTGCACTTTGCATGCAGACAATTTCAATAAACATTTGTTCACTGTAATCTCATACAACTAGAAGCATGCAAATAAATAAATAATTTCCTTTGGGCTTAGCAGAGGCTCAAGATTTAAATCTTCAGTGGTATACAGATAGATATCCACTTCTTAATGTTTATCAAAATAATGATTTCTTTTTTTTTTTTCATTTAAATTTCCAGCTAACTGGAGCAAAACTAAAACATACAAAAAGAAGAGTGAGTGAGCATGAGATGAAGGGATACCAGACAGGAAAATCAAGAAGGCCCGAGGGAGAAGAGGTCTGAAACACCCTCTGAGCTAGTCCAGCGATGCCACTTACAAAACAAAGACAAATTTTATAGGAAACTTTTAACTAGGAGGAAAAAAGCAATGCTACAATCATTTCAGGAAGGGCTTTTATATCAAATGGGAAATGAAGCTTACAGTGCTTTTATCATTTCTTCTTGCATCTTTTGTAAGGAATCAAGAAGCAGAGGAAGTGTAGTGTCATAATACTGGTTCTGATGAAGCTGTGCCCCTTTCAATGCCAACACATACTGATTATGCAACATATGGAGTTTCATTGTGGCTTTGTCGTAACGTTCCTTAGCCTTTTCAGTTTCTTTCCCTGAAAAAAAAAAAGTTGAATAAAGTTAGGAGATAGTTTTAAAAGTTCTATCTTCACTATATGCAAACTGAGTTACCACTGATTCATGTTATCTCATACATCTTATGAATAATCAAAAGGCTACTGAGCACATACTGTGTTTACCTGTCAGGACTCTGTACAAAGGATGCTCTGAAGCAGGCGTACCCTGCAGGAGATGTTTGATGAATAAAGGTCAATATACAATTTTTTTGAAAAACTGTACAGATACATGCTCCTTCTCATCTTCAAGGAGCTTACACCAAATTGGAATAACAGTGCACGTGAAACTGCATAACCAAGAAAACAAGAACGTTTGTGAATAATGTTAAATTTGAAGGTCTACTTTTGAGATGTCAATAAAGACCAGGGAAGTCAGAGGAGACTCTGTGGAGAAAACAGACCTTAAAAAATGAGGCAAGTCTGGAAAAGTGTAAGAAAGACAAGAAAGACAATAGTTCCTTCACCTCACTCTCTCTCCATTTCTTCCTTCATTTCATTCAATAAATATTATTAACTGCTCATCCCCAGGAACTGGGCTAGACATTGGGAATTCTGCATTTCACAAAACAGAGTCTTTGACAACATCCCATGGTCGGATGATTTGAACTACTGAGTGAAAACATGGAGAGAATAAGCAGTGTTACATAGGCAAGCAAAGAAATAGCTCAAAGATAGCAAGTTTTGAGAAAATGAAGGAAATAAGCTGTATAGCTAAGACAGTTTTAGGTTGTGAACGACTTGAAAATCAAGCAGAGAAATTTAGACTTGATACAGAAGAAGTCTAGAAGATGACAAAGTAATAACTTAAAAATTTATGATTCCCTTACTAAAATCATTCAGAAAATATTTACAGGTTGGCAATATAAAAGAGCGAAGATATAAACAAATAAAATTTTTCATCAGATCTTCAATTTTTGAAGCAAACGGAACAAATATTTTTATCAATTATCTAGACTTCATGAAAGGTTTTGCCTCTATCCAAGGAGCGCTCACCAAACGAATCCTCCCCCCAAATACATCTCACGTTGAGAAGTCTGGACGCCGCAGGCTTTCCTCTGCTCCCACTCTGCTTAGGCTCAGCACCCGCTTGGGAGCGCCCTATAAACAGGGGCCTGAAAAGTATCTCCTGTTGGAGAAAGTCCCCAGCCCAGGGCCAAAAGCAGAGAACAAACCAGAGCTTTTGCAGAGAGGAGACATCAGACTTCCTCCGGCAGACCAACAGAACTGGAACAATTCTGTCTTTCTCATCACTCTGCTAGTTCTGACGGCAAGGAACCACACTCAGCTGGTGGAAAAGCACACAAATTCTTCCAGCAAACTGGCATGTCTCTATCACCAACAAATTCTCGTGTTTCCAAAGACTAGGGCCGCCACTGACTCCTCCAGGGAAGCTGCACACAACTCGGCAGGGCTTCTCCAGTTACAGACATTAGCTTGTTCATGCAAACGAGGATGTTTTAATAACTACCCAAATTATTCACAAAATACTGCTCTGGATAACCTATTCACTTTATAACATAAAGAACTCGTTGGTGAGAAAATAATTTAATCACTAGAATGTCTTTCCTAAGTCCTTTCAGAGCTGACTGGAAGGAGGTCCTAATACCACAGCAGGCATATAGGTGCAAATATATTAATTCAGTTCTGATCTGAAGGGATCAGAAAAAGGTAACACCAGCTATCAGAGAAGTAGGTTTTCTTACTTTTTGATCACAACACACAGGATAATGTATTATATGCCATGAACTAGTAAATAATCACATAAATTGTAAAATATATAACTGAAATAAATTCATTTAAAAAATTCTTACCCTTATTAAGAAGGATGCTGTGATTTTAAAAAAAAATCTATCATCTGAATTTTTAATTTTAAAAATATTCATTCAGAAACCAATAAATTTTTGTCCTCTGTTAATATAAATTCCTAAAGTGGTTGTAACTTACTCTGCATGACATGAAGGTTAATTTTTTAACTTAGCAATTAATAAGACACTTCAGTAAAAATAATCACAAATGATTTTAAACATTCGTAGGAACACATCTGCTTACACGTTCAGTTACTTTAATCATTTCTTCATTGAATATCCTGTATAAATAATTTGCCCATAAACATTGCTACTTAACAAACTTCTTGCAGAAATACATTTCTAAAAAAATCTCCAAAAGCCAGTACAATTGATACATCTATGATCAGTCCTGCAGCCTTGTTCTAAAATAACAACCCCCTTTTCTACCAACCAACACAACTCAGGCAGACTCCCATACAAAGCTGTCACCCAAGATCCAAATTGTGTACCCAATCAAACAGGAACAGATCTTTCCAGCTGGGAGCTAAGTCACATTAATGCCTCAACACCTGCTGCAGTGAAGGTCCATGAACATTTGCTGCAGAAGTTGCCAGAGCAGCCCTTTTTCTAAGGTCCTTTTCTTAGAGTTGGTTCTGTTTGGGTTTGGTTTGGTTTCATCATTTTTAGGCAGGTTCATGGTGCTCTTACTTGATAGTCAACAAATTCTGACAACAGACATGTCAAAATTTCACGTTCAATTAGGCAGTTAAATTAACTCCAAGTAATAAAGAAGTCTTATAGAATCCACATGTCCATAATCAGAAAACAAGGCAGCACTATTTGAGGACTATATTCTAATTGCATTCTAATTGAATTCTAATTTGTTGATTTTTATTATAAGTTTAAAGTTTGTTGATTTTTATTGTAAGCTTAAAATTATAACTAGCAAATTCAATGAATTCCATATTTTATTTCCCTCCTTAAAAAATATTGCATTTTTTGTATAAACTCTATTATTCCCAATTAATTACTCAGATTTTTTGAGTGTAACTTCAGGAGTTAAGCTTTCCACACACACATTTTCATGGAGACATTTAAACCACCCATCTGTCCTCCTATCTGCACAGATTTTTAAGCTGCACATGACCCATCTGTCTTTCTAGCTGGTGTAGAAATGATTCACGAAATACACCACACTTGGCTCACTAAGATTTTATAATCCAAAATAATATTAGAAAACTTGAGAACGTCTCAGTTAATTTTTTTCTCTTGATCAGATACAGTGTATGACCAACAATCTGAAGAAGGGTATCATAGCCAAAGTCTATAAACAGCCTACCAGCAGTTGTCTGCAAATTTAGAAAATGATTAAAAGCCTTTGAAGACATCCAAGGTAGAATCCATTATATTAAAACAATAATAATAATACATAACATGCAAATTTCATTTAAAATAGCTTTGGGTGTAAAACTGAAATAAATCAGAGGAATGTCTTAGTATAGTCTGTTGTCCTCTATGCTCACAGACACTCGTGTACTTGGTTATACTTATGCATGCACCCTATACTTCCTCCCTTGTAGATATTAATAAAAAGTTTCAAAAACATCAAAAACATGCCATGATTTGAAAAGAGTCTACTGTACTTTTACCTGATTTGTTTTAAAAAAATATTTAGGGTTTCAAAGAGACTATGTAAGTAAATTCAAGAAATAGTAATACTGTGTGAAAACCAGTTATAACTAAATTTTTTTAAATTCTATTCACTTAACAAAATATATTACAAAAAATTATGCACCATGATTCCTGCTGCATAGCATTTTAGTTCAGAATATCTCAGATCAACACTATACTTTCCTAACTTTTAAATAACCATACCTTAGCTTAAAATTAATGTGAACTACACACAGTGAATAAATTCTAATGACAGACACAGAATCATACCTCTGTTGATGCATGCTTTTATTTTTTTTAATGACAAGAAGCACTGAAGCAGGGCATGGAGTCATTCTATGTGTCAATTAACAGGGAGGAAAACATCCAATTTTTCCTCCTCCACATAACAAAATTCACAAAGAGACTAAATTACAATTCTTTTTCCTCCACTTGTTGACAAATCCATTTAATGTTTATAACAGAGTGTGTACACAACATGTCGTGCCACAAACAATATTACGAAGCTAGCAAAACTCAGTTACGGATGTTTGACATTTACAGGAGACAGGTTACACTAGTCATTAAGTTAGTCTAGAAAGTCAAGTATTTTTTATTAAAAACCTCTGAAGCATTTACCATTTGTTAAATATTATGGTGAAAAGCCTCCGGGTAACAAATGAGAAGTGATTATTTTCCAAAAGTAAAGACTACTTGCCTGCAAGTAGTCTCTGCTTTGATGTGGATAAATAAACGTTTTATCACCTTACATTTTTCCTTTCTTTCAAAACATTCCTCCTCAACTATACAACACTTATTGCTCTGAGTAAGAAGAACATGAACAAGAATTCATCTTAACTTACAAGTTACTTGGCCCAAATATCTGCATGTGTTTTTTTCTCATGGAAGCTAAAGTAGGAACAAGTATGCTATGTGGGAACAATGAAAAGGCTATCTACTCAGTGATGTTCTGACAATAACAAAGTTAAGAAGTCACTTTTCATCTCGGTTTCTCCTTTGATTAGCTGTACAATCCAAGCAAGTCATTTAATATAAATTTCAGCTTCTAATTTTTAATCCTGGGAGTTAAATTGTCTGCCCTACTCAATCCACTGGGTTGTGATGGAAATTAAATGGAAGAAAATTGCCAAACGCACAGTTAATGACAAAGAAGACAGAATTCGGAGAGCTGAAAACAGCCTTTTTGATTATATGCTCCTATAAAGTATTAAAAAATGTAAGAGATGCATCCATACTAGTATAACAAAATTTTATGTATCAATCAAGAAATATTTATTGAAAAACATCACAGGTTTTAAACTGTTCAAAGAACTAAAATAGTGATATTTAAAAATTCAATATAAAGAGCAAGTTCCCTAGCTCTGTGCAATATCATTTCCTTGTACATAGTGACTGCTAGATGCAATTGACCCACAGTCTTTTAATAACCTACATATTGAATGGATTTCATGGTAAATCTATATTCTATAATAACAATGCTATGAATGGGGGGATTCTGAGTAGCTACTATATGGGCAGCAG